TCTACATCCTGCGACACCCGGAGAAGCAAGGTGTGATCTGGCTGCACGTTGACGATGGAGTGGTGACAGCATCATCCGAGGATCTTCTCAGAAAATTGGAGGCTGATCTGAAAGATATATCAAAGATCAAGTGGTCCTCTTCCCTTGATTCAATTGTAGGTTTAAATGTGGTGCGAACTGATCAAGGTTTCCAGCTCTTCCAGAAGAATTTGATTGATGGTATTTTGGAGTTGGAATGGGATGGTGCCTCAACGGCCAGCACACCTCTGCCCACAAATTTCAACCCAGTTACTGACCCGGATGGCGATCCAAGTATGACTGGAAAATTTTTGTCTGTTATAGGGTCGCTCAGCTACTTGGCGGTGGGAACCAGGCCAGACATCTGTCACGCGGTGAATCTACTTGCTCGCTTTGCAGCAAAACCTGGAGAAACCCATTGGAAGGGTGTTCGCCACCTGATCAATTATCTAGCGGGGACAAGGGACTTGAGACTTTCACTTTTTCCAAAGTTGGACGACAAACCGCTGAAGACTTATTGTGACGCGTCATGGGGTGGGGAGTTTTCGAGATCAGCTTACGGAGTTTTTATTACAGTCTTCAATTGTCCAGTTCTATGGGTAGCTCAACGACAACAATCAGTAGCATCATCAACTTGCCATGCGGAATATATGGCTCTTGGAGTGGCTACGCGTCAGACTCTTTGGGTAAGACATTTACTAAAAGACGTTCTGAAGATGGATTTCATTGGACATCTCCATTGTGATAACCAATCTACGGTCAGGGTGGCGACGGATGACGCTTCAAATAAGCGGACTAGGCACTCAGATAGAGATTTCTATATTACTAATGAAGCTCTGTTTCAGAAGAAGACGACACTCTCTTGGATCGGGACAAAGGAGCAAATAGCGGATGTATTCACCAAATGTTTATCGCCTGACCTTTTCCGTGGACTGCGTGATAAAATTATGGGTTGAGGATATTTTCTACATTTCATTATTATGATTTTTTTTATGAGCTGCAAGCTTGGAGCGCGTTGTTTTGTTTTCAATCTTTGCTTCTCTTGCTGTTTGTTTTTGTATGTAGTGGGGCGTCTGCGGCGAGAGGGGGGGTGTTGTAACATTCCTGTTACAGGCCTCTGCCTCGCCGCAGCACGGCACCCGGGGAAGTCCCTTCGGAGACTTCCGAGTTGGGAGGACTTCCTAAACTCTAAGGAATTAAGACACTATCGGAGCTCAAGTCGCAATAATGGGTGACTTCTCATCAAATCTTTGGCCCTTCATGTAGATGTTGATTCAGACCAAAAACAACTGTGGGTTGCTACGCTAACTGTAGCGGAATTCCGCTAATGTTTAGCATAGCTCAGCAAAATTCTGCCATGCCTGCGCTAATGCTACACGTGTGGGCAGCAAACAAAAAAGGCCACTGTGTATGCTGCACTACAGCACATTTTAGCGGGTTTTGGGCTGTTTTTGCCGCTAAAAGCGCTGTAACACAGCATAGTGACACTAACTGCCTGCTAACACTACAGGTTTGACACACTGTTTTGAGGGCCACTATGCTAAAGTTAGTGGACTGTTTAGTGTAGCGGCCCAACATTGCCAAAAAAGAAAGTCAAAAATTTATTTTTGTATCTGTTTTTTTTTTTTGGCAGAAACACCACCCAATATGAATGGTAGCTTAAAAGAGAAAGTAGTGATTTTCCACTCACTATCATTACTTTGCCTATATAATCTTTGAAAATTTTTTGCACATTACATTATCCATTTTTTCTTGGAGTTTTTATTTCAGGCTCATTAAAGTATGTTCAACTTGTAGATTTTGTTTTCTTTTTTTGAAAAACCCCTCAAAATATTGGTAAGACATGTGAGAATTTTTGAAAATTTATGGCATGTTGTTGTGTCTCTCTCTCTTTCTTTGCTCTTTCACATCAATTTCACTCCCTTTTCCCTCCTTCCAGCTGAATATTCATTCCACCTTCTATCCCACAGCTCAGCCCTCACAGCTTTGATATTTAAATAGTCATGCTGCAGAGTTAAAAAAATGGAAATCATCAGCTCTTCTGTGCTTGTTCCCTGAGGTCACTCATACGGCCTCTTATACAAAGTAAACTTTCCTGTCTTTTAAGCTAGCAGTACTCTTAGCCCTCTTTGCTCTTTGACCTGTTTTTTTTCAAAGATGACAATTGGTACCCGGCACCTGTTTGCCTGGTACCGCCCGGACCCGCCTGGTACCTGCCAGGGGGTGCCAGGTGAGGTACCTGGTGTCCATTTCTGAGCAAAACAATGATGGTACCAGGGTACCACTAAAGGTACCCTCTTTACTGCGCAGTAACTAAGTAGGGGGATGGCTGTTGCCTTCTACTCAAAAAATGGGATGATAAAGGAAGGGGTGTTGGCCAAGTGGAAAAATGGTATTCAGACTGCTAAGAAGGGTAAATCAGATGGGAAAGGTAAGAGAAAGGTGATAGTATTAGAAGATTAGCTCAACACAATACTCACATGTAGCAAGAAAAAAAAGTGAACTGCAATTTCAAGTCATAAGAGTGCCATTTGCACCGCGGCCATGGTTACCGCTGGTACCCGCCCAAAGTACCGCTGGTACCAGGTGAGGTACCAGGTGTCCATTTATGAGAAAAACAAAGGCAGTACCAGGGTACCGCTAGAGGTCCCTGGGTACTGATTGTCATCTTTAGTTTTTTTCCTCCTGACTGTGAGTCTTGAGTCTGTTTCTTCTGGTCAACTTTCCCTCCCTCTCTCCGACAGATTTTCCAAAGCCCAAAAAGAGAGATTTTGTGCCACTTAAAACTTTTTTAGGGTTGCTTAACCTCTGGATAATGTGATAATACATTACTTTATCCATTCACTAGTACATTTCCCCATTTTTGGGAGTTTTGGTTGGTAATTTTATTTGCCCCAAATATTTTTTTTACTCTGCAGTTTTACTCAATGACCTTTTGGGTTTTTATTGAGCTGCACACCTTTCTGTGATCTTGGTCTCATGTTGGTGTTGACAAATGTGAATTGGAGTTCAACACCAGTGTTGGATTGAATGGCAGTTGTTTTGGCTCTCTGAGCCTATTCTTTTAGTTATATGTAGATAATTACAGACAAAAACTTAATCATTATGTATCTGGGAACTTGTGGCATGATAAACAGCTAGCTTTCCCAGCCTCTCTGCCAAAAGTTTTGAGAGTGTTTTTTGCACAGAAAATTCTGATAAATCACTTTCTTAACTTTCATAGGGCAAAAATCTGGCACAGCGTGCCCAAGATGCTAAAGCAACTTTTCATCAAGAAATTACCCAGAAACATATACAACTACATTCTAGAGATACTTTGTAATTGTCCAAGGTTCCACTCAAATTTGTGTTTTTTTGCTTATGTAATAGCTTCTCAAGGCTCGGAGCTCAACTTGAATTCTGATTTTTTTTTTTTTCAAAAAAATCTGACTCACTGGGTTTTCATACAAAATCTCTAAAAGCTGGATGAAAAGAACCACAACATCTTCAACTTTGACTGTGTTGACTCTGCCCTCAAACAAACTCAAAGTACATGCATGGTGGCCAATCTAAGAATTACTACACCAAAAAATGCCAATAGCAACATGCACATGTGTTTGTTTAATTTGGCACAAGTCCCTCCTTTGGAGGCTTGCTTTGCGAGTTGCACCAGCCAGCCCAGGTACACCAGGCCTGCAGAAGCGAGGGACTTGCTTCAAGGTAGGATAGACAGTGCCTTATTTCTTTTTCATATCACTTTTATTAAAACCACATGTTAGGAAAATGTACTTATCAACTCCAAAAATATTCTTTTATTGACTTTGTGCCTTTTTGTTTCCATCCTTTTCATCTCACATCACAATTGGTTACAATGTTGTAGGTAGTTAATCTAGGCCAGCTGGAAGATCATCCTACCCTCATTCCTCCACTATCTGCATATCTGGCATAGGTAAGTCTTTCAACTACGAGAACCTTCAAATTTATCCAAAATAATGTCAACTGTGATCACACAAGGTGGCCAAATCCACACATTTCATGAAAAAAACAACCATTATCCTCACAGTTTCAAATTGAAAAGAGATGCCTCTTGTAACTCACAATGGAATGCCAAAGTATGCAAAAAATTGCTTGTGCATTGACTTTATATATGTTTGGGTCCTGGGCAGTGGGAAGCAGTTGGTCAACATTTTTCATAAAAGAAAAGGAAGTGGTCTGACATTTCCTTTTGATCTTATACACCAGAGTCAATCTACATACATCTTGGTATTTATGTCCACAATAGTATTTATGCCAGCATACAGTACATATACCTTGGGCTTCAACTTGCAAGCCATGGATCCACACAAGCACGATGAAAGCAGTGACCACACAATTCCAAAGTTCCAACAGGATTTATATTCTTGGTTTGATCCATATCTTCTAGAAAAATCGCATAGACACTATCAAACCGTCATTAAGATAAGTTCAAGTTCCAAAATAAAACAATCAAAATTTCATCAGAAATATTGGAAAATTAGTTTTTACAGGTGTTGTTGATTGATTTGATTCCTCTGAGGACCCAGAAATGGATTTGTAACAGATTTCATTCCATTTATTATTGAAAATATCTTTTACTGTACTGGTTGATACATGTGGAAGGTCTTGCTGTGAAACCTATTGGGGAAAGGGTCTTAGTTAAATGACTCCCAGAAATTGGAGTTCCGACTCCCAAATCTCTGGGATGTCAAGAGTACACTCTCAGTGGCCAAGAAGGATCCCTATCGGTCACAGAGGGCTGTACACTCTCAGTGACCAAGAGGGATTCCTCTTGGGTGCAGAGAGCTGTACACTCTCAGGGGCCAAGAGGAATCCCTCACGGTCATAGAGAGTGTACGACTCTTGCGGGCCAAGAGGAATCCCTCTTGGCTGTTGAGAGCATACACTCTGAGTGGCCAAGAGGGATTCCTCTCAGCCATGAGTTCTGTTTGTAACTTTATTTTTTATTTTAGTTTATTGATTTTTTGTTAGCCAAACTTTTGAAGGTTTTGGAGTTCTGACTCCCCATTTTGGGGTTGGACGTTGTGGAACTCCAACGGTGCTGGCCGGTGGCAGTTGGTTGAGGGGAAGGTGCTGAGAAGCTGCCCTTGTCGTAGGTCCGGATGAGAAGTGTGATCAAAACAGGAAGTGTGAGGGGTTGGATTTGGTGAGAAGACAGCAGAAATTGAGTTCTGTGGCGATGGTTTGAGTTTGAGGATCTTGAGAAGAGTAAGGTTTGAATTGAGAAGATCTGAGAAGATGAATTTAGTTCAAGAGTATCAGGATCAGAAGAATCAAGAAAACAAGATCAATAAGGTTTGATGGGTCTCTCTTGGATCAGAACAGAATGCCATGCTTCCCCATCATCTCAGTTCAAACTGAACTTTGAATCTGGGGAGTGACATGTCACAGACATGTCATCACATCCCTAACTACAACACAACTCAACCAAAAAACAAAAACAACACAACACAACACAACACAGAACAGAAGAAGAACACAGAATAGAACAAACAAACAAGATCAGAATAAAACAACATAAATGAAACTTTGTCTTAGGACCAAGAAATAAGAAACAACACTGTCTTCTGAGTAAATGATTTGAAAAAGATAAGTAAGAATAATAAAATGATAAAAAATAAAAATAAAATAAAATCAAGATGAATAAAAAAATAACATCAAGAGTAAATAATAAGAGGAAATGAAATAAAATAATAAAATGAGGAAACCATTGGACTGAGTGGGGATTTGAGGTGATAATATTGAAATATTGAGTCTTGAGGATATTGAAAATTTGAAAGTTGAATTCTGAAATTGGACCTTGAGGGGGCCTGTACCGTTTAGAACACCACAACGTCCTGAGGACCATCCACAGACAGTCCTCTTGAAGTCCCAGAAATTTGGGAGTTGGAACTCCAATCTCTGGGAGTTGTTTAACTAAGACCCTGGGGAAATGGGAGAGGTATCATCAAGTTCATTGAGCAAATGAATTTCCCACTGATTGTACTCCCATAAAATTGAAAATGTAAATTTTGATTACCTCAATGAATGTTAAGGTAATCAAAACAACAAAAAATGATTGCAAGTTTAATTTCAGAAGCTTCATTGTTGATTCTAAGTTCTTTCCAAAATCTTGGAAATTTGAATGGTGAGTGTCTGAAACATCTTCAGAATGTAATTTTTCTCAGAAATTTTCCATTGATTGTACTTTATATGTACCTGAGCATAAACAGATGGAATTCAGTTTTTGTTATTCAAATCTTGTAATAAGACCTGTCTTGCCCCTGGATTCCTCATCATCTGTCAGTATCTAATACCATTGTTGGCATGTTTTTTCAGATACCTGTTATGATGTTTCAAAGATGTTTGCAAAACAAGCAAAGCACCATGTTCCCAAACACTACTCAGAATGGTTTATTTATAAAGGGGCTTGATTAGGAAGTCTGGGAGGTGGTACTACAGAAAGATTTTTTTCCAACAAAATCATAGTAGGAAAAAAAGAAAATATATTTCTCACCTTAATTCACAATTTTTGCATTGAATTTGTATAATTTTGGTTCCTTGCAATTTGTGGAAAATATTAAAGAACATAATCATCCTCTGATGGTTTTGAGAAGTTGAAATCCACATAAATCCTTGTATTTCAAATCCTCACTTCATGTCTGGATGGAAGACAAGCACCCCAGATTCCAGTCAGCTATTTACACAAGCACAATGAAAGAATTATATCTTCTGATTTAAAAAAATCCCTACATAAAATTTCTAACATATCTAACAAGATAAAGACAGTCATTATTATTCAGTTTTGTAAAAAATGGGAAATACAGAGAGATCAAATACTAAATAGTTTTTAGATTAATCAAGATCATGAAGAAGAAGATATCTCCTCTTTCTTCTAGATAATATACCTCCATTCACTTCAAAATTTTATTGATGTTGTCTAGGGGATATCAGCCAAAAAAATGAGCTATGCAGAATATCAACATGATGTTTTTAAATTGTTTGGATTCTTTTTAGAGGGGCTTGATAAGCGCAAGCCAACCCCCCTTGCGCATTCCAATTTGCTGCAGGGTAGATTGGCCTGCTCACTAGAGATGTCAGCAGGTACCCGTTTTCCAAAGCAGGTACCCGGAAACAGGTACCGGGTGCGGGTGCGGGTTTCAACATTTGCAGTAAAAACAGGTGCGGGTGCGGGGTGCGGGTGTCAACATTTGCGGTAAAAAAAGGCAGGTACCCGGGTACCCGCCTTACACCCGCCCTGGGAATGCTTCCCCTGAAGAATTTAATTTATCATTGGTGGTCCAACACTCCCTTTTTTGGGTGTTTTGGGCTGCACAAAGGTGTCAGCAACCCATGTAGGACACCAGCTGGTGTCTTACATGTGTTGCTGAACTAATCTGGTTGCTTTGTTGAGGCCAGAGGGTTCCCTCCGGCCTTTGAGATGGTGTACAGTCTTGATGACTGGAGGAATTCCTCCAGTCATAAAGATGGTGTACAGTCTTCATCAATGGACATTGAATAAGGCAAATGAGGCCAAGCAAAAGGGTAAAGCTAAAGATAGATCAGAGAGAAGATAAAATTCAAATTGGTGATAGAAGAATTTGTTTTTCTTTATTTCTTTATTTCTATTTTATTCTTACTCATATATCTAGTGAATATCAATCTTATATTTACCAAGTCATGCAGAAATTCAAGGGTGAGATTTCTGGGTATATTTGCCTGCAAAAATGTGCCAGGTACCCGCAGGTACCCGGAGCAGGTACCCGGGTACCCACTCTGGCAGCCCTAGCAGGGTGCGGGTGCGGGTGTGGGTGTCAAAAATATTGGATTTTTGAGGCAGGGTATCTGCACCCGCTACAGGTACCCGGGTATTGAGCGACATCTCTACTGCACACCAATCCCCCTCTGTCAGCCACCGTGATGCCAAGATGGTAAATCTTCTAGCTACACGTGGTGCAAAACTTAAGATGACAGAGTTTGAGCTCTGGGGCTACAGAGTCCCAGTGGTTAATTTCCCATGATTATTGGTAATTACCAGTTTATTATAGTAGAAATGAATAATTAT